AGATAGTACCAGGATCTGACCCCGTTACACAGAAAAGCAATGTCATTTATACAGATGAGACAGAGGAAGGAAGGCAATCCACATTACAGTCCTAAATTGGGTGGGGGGCAGACAGAAGGGGAAGCACAGCATGTTAATTACAATTTTCTTTAGCCTTTATTTATACAGGTGTAAAATCTCATTGAGACACAAGGTCTCATTTTCAAGAGAGACCTGTTCAGTGGTAACACTACCACACAAAGTTACAGACAGACAGGACACTAAACACAGAGGCAACACTCAAATAAAACATCGTAAAAAGTAATCATTGAAATCCATATACAGTAGTCAGATATAGCAGGTGCAAAACACCCACAGAGGATTTCTCCAGCTTTTTTAAATGAGTTTAAAATCTGTGATGGGTATCAAACTGGTCAGCTTAAGTTCCTGCTGAAGTGTGTTCCAGGTCGAGGGGGCAGAGTATGATATGGCTTTTTTCCCAAGCACCGTGCGTACTGAGGGGACGGACGGAGTGATGTCTTTTTGAGATCGTAGTCTATAGCTGTACTGTTATATAGTATAACATATAGTTTTATAGAAGGTTGAACAGAACTGTGTGTCTCCTCAGCTCTCTGGAGGACTGCCTGGCAGCTCAGGGCTGTGCCGAAGTGGAAACCCTCAGACAAGATCTGGAGAAGACGGCCACCAAGCTTTACTGCGCTGAAGCATGTGAGGATCATCTCAAGGCTCAAGTGGCGTGTCTCAAAGAGAGGTGAGAACTGGCCACATTACTCTTTCCCCAGACAGTAATGTGACTCTATTTCTTTGTTTGGTGGCATAAATGTCTTTCTGATTTGCTCAGTCTGGAGAGGGTGAGCCGGCAGAAAGCTGACCAATCTGAGCTGAGGAGCATCAAGGCACAATATGATTCCTCTGTGGCAGAAAGGAAAAGGGTCAGTGATCTCCTCTGTCTGCTCGTGTTGTGGCAGTTTGGAGTTTTTGATGGCCAAACTGTAGTTGTGTGTGTTTTAGCAAAAATCACTTAAGCCGCTGAGAGGACTCTGTATCCAAACAAAAAGAACAAGATTATTTTGTTGCGTTCCTTTTAATTTCATGTAAATATTGTATATTGTGGTAAAAGTCATTTTTGTACATGATGCTCTTGCAATAGCAAAATCTGAAATCAACAGTTGTGTTGCGATTGCGTTGTCGTCAGAAGAAATGAATACTCCCTATTCTTCCTCCCGCTGTAACAGTTAAAAATAGTAATTAACAGCACACTTCCACATTGTGTGTCACCTAATGTTGTGAGATACTCACACACACACACACACACACCTCCACACCGCACACACACACCAACTTTAACCAATAGTGACAACCCAAACACATGCCTTGCCCTACGCTGTCTTATGTATTGTGATTTCTCTGGATTCCTTCCACAGGTCAACGAGGAGCTCCTCAGGGCGCGGCAGACTCACAGTGGGGAGGTGGAGGGGATGAGGAGGGAGGTGTCCAAACTGACCTCAGAGCTGCACCAACGAGACGCCACCATCTGCACACTGAAGGGCTCTCCATCCAGCATCAGGCAGCACTGTGGGGGGGTGGGGCGAGCAGCACAGAAAGAAGCCCAGCTAACAGTGAGCACACACACACACACACACACACACACACACACACACACACACACACACACACACACACACACACACACACACACACACACACACACACACACACACACACACACACACATTATCCTTCCATAGTTCCATCACAACGATCACAATGAACCCATGTAAGGGAACATGAGCCTTCTTCACAATGTGTATCATAAGTGAACTTCTTTGTCATTCTGACAAATGTGTGTTTTTGATGTCTTTATTCAGACATGATAGGACTTTTACAGAAAGAGCCACTCATATTTATTCTGTATGTATGTGTTGTTTTCTGCAGAGTTTCAGATAAGATTACATTAATATTTTAACTATTATACTATTTTCTAGATTTAGATTAGAATGGCGGGTCAAGGTAGGCTAGTTTAAAGGCCAAACATTTAGTTTTAATATATAATACAAATAATAGGCCTACATTCATTATTTTACTGAATAAATATTTTCCAAAAGTCAAAATGTGTAGTTTTCTAATGAAATATTCTGCTACAATCCATTATTTTAGCATTTCAAAAACAACCTTTCACTGCAGTCTTAAAACATTCTTCTCTCCTGCTTGCTGAAATGCGGGGTCTGTGCAAATGTAACTTTTGATGCCGCTACTGTTGCATGTACATTATGTTACATCTTTTAATTCAGACATGTGTAGAACTTATAGAAATGTCTAATTTAGTAAATCTACCATATTAATGGTGATGATGTAGTTATTCACTCATGACACGGCATTCTATTCTTAAAGCGAGACACTACAGGCGATAACATGATGCAGCATCATGTCCGTTTTGACAGTTTGGTCTTTCAGAGTACTGGAAGGAAAACATTAATGTAGGTGTTTGTGTTGCTTTGTCTTCATGCATCTAGATCTTTTTAGTTAACCAAAGTAAAGTAAGTTTAGTTTTTACCATTTTCAGTGTCTTTACATTTTACAATATGTATCTTTTAAGGTTGTTTTCCTCAAACATTTTATTTGTATTTGCTTAGCGAGAAATATGCACCAACAGTACTATCAAACACCAAACATTGAAGTTTATTCCTACATATTTTCTTAGGTTCTTACAAAGGGCTACGTTCATTTATCATTAATAGACCAATCTATATCACATTTTATTCCCCAAACATTAACAATTTAACTTTTTGCTTTGCCACTGTTCAGATTATTGTTTCGGAAATGTATTTGAACAGAATGCATGCAATACTAAAAGAATTGTCCTAAAGTAATTAGTATGGAAGGTATTCTCCGGTAGTGTCTCCCTTCAACATGGCTTCAGTGATTGTTTTGAAACCTGCCTCTGCTCTCTCTCTAATGAACTGTCTCCTCAGAGGGGGGAGTCCTCGCCTGCGCCCCTCGGGGACAGTTATCTGTCGTCTCTGTGCAGCCTGGAGCAAGAGAACGTGCGGCTGAGGAAGGACCTCTCTGAGCTGCGAACCCGACTCCAGGCCTCCAGCAGGACCTGTCCTGACCAATACCAACAAGCTCTGCTCCATAACGCTAAGACCGCCCCCCCACAGCCTGCTCAGGACAGGTGCCCGCCACACAAAGAAACACATGCTCAAAAGATCAAGGAAATTAAACTTTTATCCAACTTTTGCTTTATCTGTCACCACAGGCAAGAGACAGCAACAAAGGCTGAGCTGCAGACCAGTGGTCTCTGCCCAGGAGAGATCCAGAGCCTCTTCCAGCAGCTGCACACCCTGTCCCAGGCCTCCTGTCCCCCAGACAGCAGGCCTGCTTCTTCAGCATCATCCTCTTCCTCCACCAGACTCACCAGGAGAAACTCTGTGCCAAGTCCAAATGACTCTGAGGAACAAAGATCCAGCTCTGAACACTCTGAGTCCAGAGAGAAGCCCATACCGTCTCCCTCTGCCATGGTGATGTTTATCACAATGAATAAGCCACAGTTGTCGTAAAGATCATTTTGAGAATCCTACAGATTTTTTTCTTCTTCCCTCTCAGGAGCCTCTGTCGGTTTCTCCAGGGGACGAAACAGTCTCTCGTTTCTTGCAGGAAGAGAGCTTCCTGGCTAAGGAGCTGGTCCAGAAGCTGGACTCCCACATCCAGGGGATGAGAGAAACCAACGCAAGGATTCTCTCCAAGTACCTGCCAGGGGGCTCAGGGTCCCCCCACACGTCCACCGACTGCAGGCAGCAGAGTGGTTAGAGATGGAGTGAGGTGCAATAAATCCAACTCGTGGTTTTCAGACCCTTTGTTGCAGGACTTGCTTAGTTGATATGACGCAGAAACATGGCATACCAAACTATAACTGTGGTGTTGGGTTGATGGCTATAAACAACTTACTACAACAGATCCTCTTTTTAGGGTCTGTCTCCACATGGCATTTTAAAGATCATGAACAAACTCAGGAAACAGCAGCGGAGGAGCACCTGAATGCATCATTGGTCTTTGTGAAGTTCCTCCCTCTCAGAGCCCTTCTGGATTCTTGCACAATTTAACTCAGATTGGCAAGGAATAGTTGGAATTCCCAAAAGTGATTTCTTAAACACTATCAAAGAAGAAACAAATAAGCTGTGACCTCATACAGCCCAGACTCCTCTGTCCCCCTCTCTCCCTCCCCCTCTGTCCCTCTCTGTCCCTCTCCCTCCCCCTCTGTCCCTCTCCCTCCCCCTCTGTCCCTCTCCCTCCCCCTCTGTCCCCACACTGTCCCTCCCCCTCTGTCCTCACACTGTCCCCTCCTCTGTCCCCACAGTGAAGACAGAGTTGTTTTGAGGTCACATTGACAGTGTTGCGTTGCTAATGAGCTCTGATTGTTACCTGTTTTTTTGGGGGGGGGTTTTCTGTCTCGTTTTTCTTTTATCTGTCTCTTGAAATTGTTTTGTCCTGCCACTTCCAGCTCATCCTAAACGACAAGCTAAGGCTGCCTGAACCCTTTCCTCTGGTCCTCAGCAGCTTCAGGCTCTCTGAACATGTCCTGTTCAGAGAGCCTCCACTATATATATGTAATCCAAAAAAACAAAACATTAAGGAAAGACAAACGAGACCGACATTTTAAAAACCCCAAATAGTTTTTGTGAAATTAAATTAAATTTAAAAAAAACGAATAATAAATCCTGGCATGGAAGTGGCATCGGTTCTTGTGATATCCCTAATCTATTCAATTATTCAAATAACTCTTTCAGCTCTGATCAGACTGCCATTTTCTGGTAAAGAACAATAAATACAAGTTTGATAAATGAACACTGCTCTCTATGAAGGAGTAGTGGCAGATCACTATAGGCTCTAACATGTAGTGACTGCTCACGACTTTCACATTTTATAATTAGAGTTTAGCCAAATATTTCCAGGAACCCTAATCTCTAGTATTTAAACTGTAAATATTTCGGATGTGTGGGCTCTTGTGCACAACAAATTTTTTATAATGTGCATTCCGTCCATGCCTCTGTGTGTTCTGAATGGGAGTATGCAAATCTGAACTCACATTAAAAAATGTTGATCCCGCCATGTTGCCACACACCTGTCTCTGCAAGTAATGTTTTATTATCAGAACTTAGAGGAAATGTGCCTCAGCTGTGTTTGATGTATTCTGGCTTATTCTGTCGTATGTATGTGACCTCACGAAGCTTGCTGCGTTCCTCTTGGATTACTTGTTGAGATTCTGACATTAAGAGAGTTCCTTTGCATTTTTTCTTGTTGGACGCTGCATCATTTTTTCAATTTGTCCAAGTTCCCTGGAATGCAGCATTAAACATTTGCATTAACATCCAGAGAAAAGAATGTTGTGAGAGCAAAAGGAGGGTCCGTCCTTCCTGCAAAACTGGGAGAATACCACATATGTGCATGTCAGCCGCAGACCCCCCACCACCCTGCAGAGGCCCTCTGGCCAGTCTGGTGCAGGAATGTGTGCACCATGCCAATGCTGTCATGAGCATCCCCCCCCCCCTGCTTTGTCCTCATCATTAGAAAGCTGATGGAATGTTAATATCAACCATGTGGGGCACTCAACCCTAGCCAGGGTGGAATACTTTATTTTACTGCTTCCTAATAAAGCACACTGATGGAATGGAAATAAATTGGAAAGATTCTGAAGAAAAATGTGTTCTTCATTTTTGCCGTCATACTTGTTCAACGACAGCACAGAAGTTCTGCTCTGCTCGTCCAGTGACTTCTCACTTTGGTTCTGAGCCGTGTTGCTAACACTGTGAGCCCCAACAAACAGCACAGAGGAATTTGGCAGGCATTCCTCTGGCTCTCTCTGGAGGGAGGTGAAAGGTTTTATATGTGGAGATTTTTTTAGGGGGCCTAGTGGAAGGGAGTGAGGGAGGTTTGAGTCCAGAAGGCATTGGATAACCTTGTTTATGGAAAAATTGGCCTAAGGCTACAGGATGATTGAGTAATTGCCACCCTTGATTTTTTAATGCATTACGCTCTATCAGGATAATTGTTACGTGTGCAAATGTGGACATTCTCTGGCATATTCATTCTTCTTATTCTTTTTGTGTTTGATGATTACATTATGCTTTTGAAGGGGCATTTCAGCAATTGAGTGTGACCTTCTCCTTACCTTTGCAACCTTGCAGGAGACATATTAAAAAAGGAACTGTCAACATTGGCCTGCAGAGGCCAAGATACTCTGTCTTTGAGTCTCAAGTATTGGTCAAGTCCAAAAAAACACTATCATACATTTCCTATGATGCACTTCATCAGTATCTTTAGTTGGACCCTGCCTAAATGCTCATTCTGTATCTCCAAATAAATCGAGTATATTTACCTAAACCAAATCTTGAAAAGCCTTAAAATGTTTGCACAATTCGATATTCAATTCAATTTAGTTTTCTAATCAAAATAAGTCCACTAACTGATTTTTCCAAAGCTTTCCACCCACCTTCTTAGCCTTCCTTAGTAGATAATGTGCTCAGTCACAGTTATTTAGTTATTAAGTTAGCTAGTTAGTCTTTTTGTCCGAGGAGGAATGCTAAACATGTGTCCTGTTCCAAGACATTTTTCTTGTGAAATGTGTATTTATAAATATAAAATATCGTATTTTAAGACATAAAATATCAGCTTTTGATTAAACTTGGATCTACAAAGTAGTTAAATGACCTTGAAAAAAAAAAAGAATACTCCTACCTCACTAAAAAATCCATGACGAATATATAAAATGGCAAATATTTGTATTTTCTGATGTATAACTTGTAGATATATGTCTTAATCTTCCCCTGTAAGTCCATCCTCAGTGAATGGGCACCGGTGACTTTTTCACATTACACTGAAATGTGAATGTTTGACCCCTGCAGGCTTCCAAACTGGTAGAGACATCCCATAATCATGTTTGTATGTACGCGTCTTCAACTCAAATTTAAAGTGAGACTCAGCCAGTGTTTAACAGGTAGCAGTAAATGATTCTGTGGTAAAACCATACGTTTTAGTGGGGGGGGGGGATATTAGTTAAGGCTGGTTCAGTGTTTTTAACGTTCGTTAAAGAGACCAAAAAGCTCCAAGAATTTCTTCAATTTGACATTGACCCAAATATGGAAAATAAAACCTGTGAAAACTAAACAGTTTAAGGGTATGTCAAGGTTTTAAGAGGAAGGTGCCAAAATAACTGCAAATAATCATAAAGCAAGATACTATTAAGCTAAATATGTTTGAGCTTGAATACTTAGGTTTGTGACTTATTTACATTTGCTCCTGGATCCTAGAGATAATTATTGTGCATAGTGTGTGTGAAAAGTCGATGGGTATAGCTTCACATTATGAACCCATCTTGGAGTAAATATGTGAGTTATTGAATGGCGGAATGTTCCTTATCTGTGGGATCAACACTTGTCATGGGAATAAAGATTAAAAGGATATACTGTAGAGAGCTGGTTTGTGTGGAGGACTTATTTCTGCAGAATACAGACTGGCGATGAAGGTTGGGGGGGATTTTTGGAACCGGGACTGCATGGAGATTTTTGGAAGTGGGGTTGTATGAGGTACATATCCAAAGTCAGTGTGTACAGTCGTAAAAGGTCTGCCCCCAGTTTGAAGACAACAGACACGAGTACAGCACCGAAAATAAGCATTTTACTCTCTAAAATAGTTAAGTCTATGCTGTAGTTGGAATTTTCATTGCTTAACCTTGCTTTCAGACAGCCGTTTCAAAAAGGGAATTTGAGATATTACATTCATATATTCTCCCATTAAACAGCAGACTCCATTACAAGAGTATTTTGTATCATACAGATCACAGGTTGCTGGTGTGCTGCTGCCTCTTTGGTTTGTGTGACACTGGTAAGGTATATTTACTGGTTTTGTCAAAAGAGTTTTGTGTTTTAGAAGAGAGCCTTCAGTGCCTTGTTAGGCTTTCTTATGGCAGGTAAAGTGCTGGAAATATTCTAAATATTGTGTAAACTTAAACTGATTTAGATTTTTGGCTGTTTCTTGTTTTCAGGTGATGTGCACAGCACTGCTTTTCTTGTGCTGGCACTCACACATTGTTACAACAAAAGATGCTTCTCCAAACTGTGGCTCGACTGATTAATACACAGTCAATGGAAGTACCTCTTTCAACCCTACTGAGATGTGACCTAATTGCAACCTCAGGTTGTTGCTCCTTTGGGGAAATGATAATCGTGTCTTTATGAATTGCTGAACTTCCTAAACAAGATGAGGCGACTTTTCCCACTATTGTTGCAGCCTGCATGCATTCTTTGTTGCACATTCCATTCCTCCGAGAACATGCTGAGCGTGCGTCCTTGTCCCACTTCCAGCTCCAGCCAGGTCTCTTACATTATGGGAACGTCTCAGTGTGGTTGAGTCAGGGTGGGGTTTTGGGGGGTGGGTGCACGTTGGCTGGACCGGTTTCGTGCAGTCGGACTCAGGACAGAGACGGGGAGGTTTTCTTATCAGCCCCACTTAGTGCTTCGTGCCACGGGAACTGTGCCGGAGAGGTCAAGAGGAAAACTATGACGGGCCATGTAGGCCAAAATTCAAACTAACCTCGCACACACACACTGAAATACTCTCACATTCACTACTGAACGCCTCAAAGAGGTGTTCAACCTCATGGAAGCTCAAGACTGTACAGTAGGTGGAGGCTCAGGTTAAACTGAGGATGATACGAGAGCTGGGACTCTGTGGCCGGATGCTGAGAAAAGAGAGGTTTTACATATTAAACCATCGCATTGTTGAATAGATAGTTCTGATTGTGGAGTTGTTGAAGGTACATAGTGAGAGCATCACCTACAGTAGATGGAGGTTGGCTCTCCCCCAATGGGGAGAAACTGACAGGAGAGCAGCACAGAAGCTGCTGTGGAGCCAATGGATAGGGGCAGCAGCAAACCTTACTGTATAGCCACCTATGAAAATCAATATTTGTTCAATTGTTCGCTATGTTTAAAAAATGTTTCCTGTTTTACTTTGCTCTTCCCAACGGGGAACTAAAACTGTTATATCTACTAAACTGCTTTGATCGTTTTGTTTGTTAATGTGTGACTTTGTTGAATCTGAACGAAACCTTTATATCCTAAAGATAACGGCTTCGTCTGAGTATATATATGTATTTCCCTTAAGGTGCTGGTTGCAGGTTGTAGGTCGGAGGCCTGACACTTTCTATCTAGGAGGAGACGAAGTCACGAAAACACATTATGAAGATAAATGTAATTAAAGAGCTTATCAGATATTAA